ATCCTTAATTACGTTAACTTTTATGCATAATTTCGACTTTTAAGCATTACAGGTTGTTAACAGCTGACGAAAATCTTCTTACTCTTTTTTACTCTTTTTAAGATGGTAAAGGAGACAAGTCAGTAAGTAATATGCAACGAGTTAGAGGTATGATTACAAATGTCACTTCACGATTGCTCACATCATTGAGTAGGATTTCATCTTAAGAGATATGATAAAGAAAATGGATTATTGGTAGTCATGATGACCCAAGAAGGCCACTACAGAACCCAAAGATCAGTCGATTAGTGATGGTGACAAACAGTTTATTTATGAAAGCTTTTGATGTGTTAGCTCCGTACTTCAAAGGAGTTACCCATGGAGAAGGAAGTATATAGAGTAAGGTAAAGTGAGACTTTTCACAGGCCCGAAATTTTCTAATCCCTATCCTCTGTTCTCGAGAGGTAGCATCACTGCAGATGATCTTTATCTAAGAACTAAAAGTTATTCCTATCACACCCATTTACAGTCCACAGTATGGCTTCTTCCTCAGACCAGGAGTTACTACTTCTACTCTTACCATATCTTAACTGATCTGCCTGGGATATTAGTATCTGAAGAAACAAATGTTCCAGTCGGTATAGTTCAAATGAGCTACTAAACTAAACAAGCCTACTCACCGCATCAAGGGAGTAGTTATGGTCAATAATTATTTGCATAAACTCTCATATATTAACATATTTTGATATATTTAAAATAAATATTAATATACATTCACTAGATTTTGTAAGAAGAGTCCAGTCAATTTATCTTCTTCTAGCAAACAAAATTGCAATTATGAGGAAAAATTTTGAAAGATATAACCCAACCTCAAAAAATTATTATATCGGTAACATGTGACATTTCATCGGATGCAGACGTAAAGGCGAGGATCAGAAAAGCAAGGGCCCCATTCCAACAATTGAGGAACATATGAAACTCAAAACAACTGTCAACCAATATCAAAGTCAGAATCTTCAATACAAACGTCAAGATAGTTCTACTATACGAGTTGAAACTTGGAGAACTAATACAACCGTCATCGAAAAGGTACAAGTATTTATAAATAGTTGTCTACGCAAGATATGCAATATCTGTTAGCCTAATACCATCAGCAACAGCCTTCTGTGGGAGAGAACAAACCAGCTTCCAGATGAAGAGGATATTAGGAAACGACGATGGAAATAGATAGGACATACATTACGCAAATCATCAAACTGTATCACGAGGCAATCCCTAACTTAGAATCTTGAAGTGAAGTGGAAAAGATGAAGACCAAAGAACACATTACGTCGGAAAATAGAAGCAGATATGAAAAGGATGAATAACAACTGGAAAGAACTGGAAAAGATTGTCCGAGACAGAGTTCGGTGAAGGATGCTGGTTGACGGCCTATGCTTCTCAATAGGCAGCAACCTTAGGAGAGTTACAAGCCGAGTTAATATCTATTATAGAAACTAAAATATTGAATAAATCATCTTGCTTATACAATATTAATTCATAAAAAAAAATAAAGTGCAAAATTCTTTTTATTTGGTTGAATTTAGACATTAACACCGTTGAATGCCAGTCAGCTCAGTGGTATAATAGTTGAGCGCTCACATGCGATATTGATAAATCTTGGGGGGAAGGCAGGATCGTAGATACGCACTGGTGAGGAGTCCCATACTAGGACGAAACGGCCATCCAGTACTTTCAGGTTTTCTTCAAATGACTCATGATCTTAACTACTGAACTTACTGAAATCTCCACTAGACCCCTCCTGACAAAAAAACCGTGATTTTTTTCGGACATTTTTCTTTTTTATTTCAACTGGTAGATAATAATTTTACTAAATTGATACTTTAATATAGAACATTAAAGTTTTATTAGTTTGCATTCCTTCTTTTTTTTTAAAGCGAAGTAACAATATTTTAATCATTATAGTTTGTCTCTAAGACACTTTAATTCTTCTTCTTCATCTTTTTCATCAACAATAAAAACTATTTGTTACGTTTATTTTTGTGAATAATTAAAGAATTCTAATTTTATATCTATCAATTTATAACATTTTGATGATTAGAAGAAAGTTAATTGAATAGTAACCATAGTGATTTGAATAGGACTGTCTATGCAATCATTACTTTTATATATTACTATCACTGAATTAACTATTTCTATGAATCCGATGTTCATCTTGTTGTGTTAATGAGGTAATGAGGTATCTTGGATCAATGCATATATGTGCTTGGTCCTACGTTGCAGCTAACTGACTGGCTGAATGACTGACTGACTGATAGAAGGAATCATATAATTCAAATATAAAACATGATTCAATTTAGAAATATAAATTATGAGATGGTTACATAAGTCTAAATAATTCTTTGATTCAATTCCAAATCGAATTATTGTTATTTATCATTGACGAGTTAAAATAATTGTCTAGTATGTATTAGTTTCAGAAAGGTTTTTGTAAAGATTGTACTAATTTTATTAGTTGAAATTATGAGTCAATTAAAGTTAGACCATTATGGAAAACCTAGAAGTACTGAACGACTGTTTCGTCCTATTGTGGAACTCTTCAGCAGTACTTATTAGTTTACTATGATGATCTACTTATAATCAATCTATGATTTAAACTGTAGAATTGAAAACAATTAAACTGATAACTATCAAACAATGTGAAATTGAAGTTCAATTTTTCACTCGAAAATTTATTGATTTAATAATCAGGATGTCAATAAATGATTACAACATTAGGTTATAAATTGATAACTTGATTTTGATGGTATAGGACATTTCATCTCTTAAGTTTTGAATGAACAAATTCAACTGAAGTTTAATATACTTGGTATTGTTTTACTTGAATCTTCCTATTGATATCTAAGACGGAAATTGATCAGTCTCTTATTGGCATATGTGCATACTCTGCGTATTGCCTTGATATTGCCTTAATTTACAAGCATTATAAGCAAAGATAGGTTTGAGTCCCAGAGTGAACATCAACTCTGAGATGCAGGTATATCCAGCTGACGAGTCTTAAATAGGACGAAACACGCGTTATGGATTACACTGCTAGCCACTATCCCATCAACTGAAGTTGTTTCTCTGGAATCATTTTAGTTTCTTGTTATTCACCCCTGATCTACTGTCGATCAGATTTTATACTGAAGGTTAATGCTCTCTATTTGAACATTAGTTTGGATGGAACTTGATGAATAATAGAAGTTGAGGTTTCAATCTTTATTCATTGGTCACTATCGTTAATAAATTAGGTCAGTGTTCCTGTAAACGATCTAGGAGACATAGACGCAATACGCATTCACTCTCATAATAAATAATCCGATTATGTAGGGAAAAAACAAAGTATACAAAATCTCTTTTTTTGAAGATATGACTGAAATAGTTTGTAATCAGTATGTTATAAATTGATAGTGTTAGACGTAAGAAACTAATAAATGGAGATGATTAATATTGAAATGAACTTCATTTCCGATCAGATTTTACAAAGTATTCCTATCAAGTTTGAGAGTAGGCTTAAAATCATCAAACTAGTTTGAGTTCTTTATTTCTACAATTACTTAGGTTGAGTAGATAGGTGGAAAGGGATAAATATTTAACTGAGTGAAGCCGAACCTAAGTCTATCAACTGATTGAAAACAATATGCTTCCATTGATAATAATGTACACATTAGGAAGACTAACAGAAAATCTTAGGAAAATAGATTATATGTTCCAAATCCTGAATTTTATTACTGGTTACAATCTAATTATGGATGTTCTTAATATTAAAGCACACATTCAATAAGCATATATATTGCCAAAATAGACTGATTGAATTTTGTCGTGAATTTTTAAAAACAGAATGATACCAACATTTACAATGATAAAATCTATTCAAAAATTAAGAGATCACATAAACTTGACATTAATTCCCGGCTCTATGATCAGCCGTTGTGAATATCTTTGTCTTGTAAAGCGTTGTTTTTGGCCTGTAAAGTTCAGTTGTAACGTTGCAGACAGTGAAGCTAGATGGCATGCATTGGAATCCCACAATGAACATCAATCTTCTCATACTGCTAAAGAGTTTCTTATAACATGAAATCTAAGTCAAAAAGGGTTTCCTGTTAACAACCTACAACTACCTAACATCTAAACTTAGTCCGTCCGATGTTGAGTTCCTTACGATAATAGACAGATTATAACCTGATCAATAGAACTCGGTCAGACTTAAACGACTAGACAAACATTGACATTGGTCACTGTTCAATGAATAATCAGTTGTAAATGATTTATTTCTTGTCTCCCAAGTCAGACTAAATTTATATTTTTACCTTTGTTTATAACAAGTAGATATAACTCATGTATATGGTTGAGCTCAACATCTTAAGTGATCTTGAGTTAACAAGTAACTGAACTGATACTATTGAATAAAGGCTGGTTGATACTGATTTTCATTTATAGCATCCAATGAAAAGTAGATGTCTGCTAATTATTTATTTTCCTATGCTTAAAATCAGTGCAAAATAACAATGTTTTCTTATGATCAGTAGTAAAAGTGATATGGCTTTGAGATTATTAAGGAAATTATAACTCTTATCCTATTATGTGATACAATTTAACAAACATTCTTTATCATTACTACTAATCATTCATATTTCTTATAAAAACTGACTACTTGGTCTTAACCAAAGTGAAGATGTGTATAGTGTATCCACAGCTAATTCATACCTCTCTATGCGTGATATATACTAGTGTATACATAGTTTAGAAGAAAACTATAAGCCATCAAACTAGGACAGTCACTACATAATTAGCTCAGTGATAATATCTCACTAGAATTACTAGTTACTGCAAGATTACAAAGATATATTCTTGACGATTGTTATTCAATGAAGAACTTATATATTTACATCCTTAATGATTATTTTCAACTATCTACAATTTAATATTATTTGCTATTAAAAATAATAAATAATCAGGATCATCTAATGATGATTATACCCATAAATAAAATGTTATTTGTTTCAAAAACAACAAGGCAAAAGAAAACAACAAATAACCTGATTGATTTCCATAGATCATAATAATTGACTAAGGTATTATACAACCTCAAGATAATGTTACAAAAATACAAATATATATATTTATACATAGTAGTAGTAGTAGTGGTGGTGGTGGTTGTAGTAGTAGTGGGGATAGTAGTAGTAGTGGTGGTAGTAATAGTAGTAGTAATAGTAATAGGACAAGTGTGTTGAGAGATAAAGGAAACATTCTTTTGTTTGAATAAAAGTACATTCTACTCACTGAGAATGCTTTACTCTTTTTATAATTATGAAATAGTGATATACACAGATGGTGAGGGTAGATTTGTATTATTAGAAAGGGAAAGAAATGTTCATACAGTTCTCAAGGAAATCTTTGATAAAAAAGAAAACGAAGAATAACATAGATGAAGTCAATTAATAATCTCAAATGAATTTTGGAAGTGGTCATTTAAATGGAAAAAAAGTCAATTTTATTTACAACTGAAGATAGAATTATTGATGTATTTGTAATGTAACGTTGACAACTGCAATATTTATATGAGAGTGACGTGGGACGTATTTTTTTACAGGAAACATTTTAGCTACTAAATTCAATAATAAGTAGTTTGCTGGATATATGCTAACATTACCATATGACACGTATTCATTAATACGGTTGTAATGAAATTACTTAAGATTATCGACTACAACCATAATTATACATGCTTGAATAGTATATATATAACGACAGTTATGTGTATATAGAACTAATGTTAGTCCATTTAATGTTGTAAAAAAAGTATTGGATTCAAAGTAGTTCATTGATTTTGTCAGATGTATCAGACATCCGTTTCAATAGTTTTATTAAATGAGTATTGTTGTTTAGAAGGGAAAGATTTAGATTTTTTCGTTTTCTCAGTTTCATTACCACTGCTACTTACATGTTTCTTGATGCAGTCGTGGCTGGAAACAAGGTGAACTGGTGAATTAAGGCATATTTTATCATCTGATGGTTGTACATGTGAAGCTGATATTGTAATATCATCTGTAATTTTAAGTACCGGTTGATTTTGTTCAGAGAATAACGTCTCTGTTATTTCAACTTCATTTCTTTCCATATCTGTACTATTTTCGTTATTATCATACGTATCTTGTTGATCATTTTGATGATTATCAATATTTTCTTCTAAGTAATATCTTACAGGTAAATATTGATTGTTATTAGAGTCCACAATTTGACTTTCACAAGATTCATTAATTGTTTCATGTAGGCAACTTAATAATCTCCCTTTAAGGTTTCCACTAACTTTAAATGATTGGGTGCATTTTGGTACATTTTCTCCCTCTGTTCTAATACAAAGAGGGAGAGATAAACTTCGAGTAATTTTACTGATGTATGGCGTTGAACTTACATCTTTTTTGTTTAAATTTGGTGCACTCATTTCTTCTTGAATACTTGAATAGATTTGAATAGATTGAGGAGAACCGAAATCATTTGTCATTTTTGCTTCATTAGTATCTTCATTAGTCATTGATTTAACGAATGTACCAGTGGTCTCATTACTCAATATATTAAAAGATTGTGGGGGATGAATTGTTGATTTTGACAATAAAATGTCATCATACTCATTACTTTCTTTAAATGATGATCTATGTTCATTCCGTTTGGCTAGATAATTATCTTCCTGGTGTATATTCGGCCAACTTGCCAATGATTTAGATCGATTTTGATGCTTCATATCAATAAGTTGATCATTCTTTATTTCAGTATCGATTGGTTTATATTGTTTCCGTTGTTCATTTATCATTGATCCTGTATCACATTTATTATTAGAATTTAAACTACTTAAACTTAAATTAGCATAACTTGTACATGATTGAACATGTATAAATGTTTGTTTATCTTCAGTTTCAGTTTCTCTATGATAAAAATAATTGAAATTTGAAACAATCACAGGTACTGGTAATGCAATAGTTAATACACCGGCAATAGCACATAATGATCCAACAAGTTTACCCCACATTGTTACAGGTCTCATATCACCATAACCAACTGTTGTCATAGTAACTACAGCCCACCAAAATGCATCTGGTATACTACGAAAATATGTTCTATCTGAATCAACTTCAGCAAAATAAACAGCTGATGAAAATAATATAACACATATTAATAAAAAAAATACTAATAAACCTAATTCACGTGTACTTGCTTTTAATGTTTGACCAAGTATTTGTAAACCTTTTGAATGTCTTGATAATTTAAATATACGAAATACACGTACAAGACGTATTACTCTTAATATAGCTAATGACATAGCTTGATTTTGACTTTTACTTTCATCAGCAACCATTGTACCAACTGTTATAAAATATGGTATAATCGCAACTATATCAATAAAATTCATAATATTTTTAAAAAATGCAATTTTTTGAGGAGATGAAATAAAACGTATTAATAATTCAAATGTAAACCATATAATACAAATGGTTTCAATTAAAAAAAATGGATCTATAACGGTAGGGATATCATCTTCTATAATTAATAAACATTTCATTGGATCATAATGATAATAACAATCAATAAATGATAAATATAAATCATCTGTTGTTTTTATTGATAAATTATAATCATTTATTGATCGATTTATATTGATTGAATGATTTTTCATTAAATCAATAGTATTGATATTTTGATTGGATATTAAGAATAATGATGATAATGATGACAATGATGATGATGATGATGGCGATGATGATGGGGATGATGGGGATGATGATGATGATGATGATGGTGAGATTGGTATATGATATGAAGATAAATTCACAAATTTATAATGTTTAAATGATGGTAATGTTTCAATACAAAATATAATAATTGATAATATAATAACAAATATAGAACAAATTGCAATACAACGTGCTGATATAGAACTTTCAGGATATTCAAATAATAACCATAATTTACGTTGTAATTTATTATTTGGTAAAATTTTCACATCTTCACGTATAAAACCTTCATCATCACGATATTTTTCAATAGCATCTTCATCTAATTCATAAAAATTAATTTCTTCAGTAAATACATCAATGGGTACATTCACTGGACGACGTAATCGACCACCACTTTGATAATAATATAATATTGCATCGAAACTAGGACGATTACGATCAAAAAAATATTCATTTCTTAATGAATCATAATATTGATCTAATTTTTTTGGATTACCTAATAATGTATTAGGAAATTTATTTAATGTACTAAATTGGGTTTCATAACGTAAACCAGATATATTTAATATAATACGTTGATTATCATGATTGATTTTATGATGATTTAAATTATATTTTATATGATTTAATTGTATATTATTATTATTATTATTATTATCGTTAGTAACTGTATTTAAATGGCATTTATTAGTTGCTAAGGGAGTAGTTGCTATGGTATTATCTAATTGATGATATGAATTTATTGATGATAAATCATTTTTATTAAATGTTTTTTGCCAATTATTAATATTATTATGTAATAATTTTTCATTTAATTTAGTCTCTGAAATACTATATGGTAAATAAGATAAATTAGGTGAATTATGATTTGTATGAATTAAACTTGTACCTGATGATAATAATTTAGTATAATCAGATGTATCTAATTGATTATGATTTTGTTGTGTTATTGTATATGTATCCTGTGATGAACTACAACATAATGGTATATTAGTAGAATTATGAGAAAATATACTACCGGTATAAGTATATAAATTAGATGGATTAGATAAACCTGTACTACCTCCACCAGCACCAACCATACCACTATAAGGTCGTGTACCATATGATCTAAAATTGAATAATAAAACAAAATAATCAATTCATGAGAAGAAATGAAGTTTATTATTATTATTATTATCAGAATGGGTTTTGTGGAGATTGTAGTAAGTTCAATAGTTGTAATCATGAGTTAATTGAAGCTAGATCATCATGGAAAACCTGGAAGCACTGGACGGCCGTTTTGTCCTAGTATGGGACTCCTCAGCAGTGTACATCCACGAAACTATAAAAACTGATTGTTTTGGAATAATTAAATTGATATTTTATGTTACCATTTGGTAAAATCATCATCAGTCACCATGATTCAATCAAAAGTTATTTAGAATTTTTTTTGTTTCTAGTTAATATTCTTAGACAGTGAATCTTCATAACTTTAAACTGAATTAAATTCAGTATTTCTTTATTACCATAGTGAAAAATCTATGGTTCAGTTAATGATTTTAAATCAAATATTTCATATATAATAATGGTAAATTCATTTGGTATTGCTTGGCTTGTATCATCCCATTAAGGTTTAAGACTGAAAATGATCAGTCTGTTATTGACATATATGCATACTCTCCGTATGCCTCGATATTCCCTTAATTAACAAGCATTTTGTGAGCAATGATGGATAGTGGCTAGCAGTGGAATCCGGGACTCAGTAGCTGAGTGGATAACGCAATGGCGTTTGAAGCGAATGGTACTGGGTTCGAGTCCCAGAGTGAACATCAACACTCAGATACAGGTACATCCAGCTGACGAGTCCCAAATAGGACGAAACGCGCGTCCTGGATTCCACTGCTAGCCATTATCCATTATTGCTTATAATAATGGTAATTCTTGTAATTAAGGTGTTAAAATTTCAAATACATTATATACTACTGGTAACATTAACATAGATTATAATTTAGAATATTGTTATGTCCCGATAAGCATAATGAATGGTAACTTTAGGGGTTCATTTATGGACCAATACTATGCGTACATTTTCATCGTATAATTGTTAAATAACTAAACTATTCATAATCATGTTCCTTTTATTATAAGCTTTATTTTAACCTGTGAACTATTAGTATACAATTCACCGTTCTTGAGTTATACCCAGTATATTAACTACTACCTCCCTCATTCACAGCCAATTTTGGCTAGATCGTGTACAAATGTTGTTTTTCATTTTATGGTACGATTTGGTCTGTCTAGTTGGTAATATAAATCGAGTATGTTTTAAATAAATGATTCATATCTCAGAGGCTGAGATTGGTATTCTGAACTGAACAGGCAGTGCTAGGCAGGAAGAATTACGGATAAGAACTCTAGACTTCTCGTACGTGTTTTATGAGTCATTAGTTCGGTCGATAATTCACTGCTCTCTAATTGGCGGTATCATTACTTTATACATTAACAGGGCAAACAGGTCACAAGTTATAACAGCTATTTATAAAATAATCATTTCAATCTTCTAACATACAAGTGTTCTTAAATTCTAATTTTACGTAAAATAAATTTGATTAATGAAGCAACAATTATGAAAAAAATTTAAGAAATTGATATTTACTACTTATTAGTTTTTTTTAGCAGTTAAGATCATGAGTCAATTGAACATAGATCATCATAGAAAACCTGAAACCACAGGACATACGTTTCGTCCTATTGTAGGACTCCTCAGCCATGCCTATCCACGATCTCGTCACGCGAGATTCGAACCTAGGACCTATCAATATCGCGCATGAGCGCTTAACCATTAGACCACTGAGCTGACCGGCATCCAACGGTGTTAATGTTTAACTTGAATTCATCCACGAAATGTAGCAATGTTTCTAGGTTACCTACAAAACCCCTTCGGATATTTGTCTTTTAAGAAGTAGTTTCAAGAGACTACTGTAAACATAAAAATTCGGTTTTTCGATAAAGCTCAGCTCATTTTTAACACTGGTATTTCATATTATCAAACTATAAATAGAAATATTCATGTTTCTCTCTCTAATATTACTAAACAAACAATAAAATAATGTTGAACCAGTGAAAAGTTTCATCCTGATCATCATATGTTTTAGCGTTTTGTGATGTTTGTAGATTTTTAGTCCTACAGTATGAATTAACACAAACAAGATAACTAGTGAACATCGAAGAGCAGTGGGTTAACGCTTTATCACTACTATGGGACATTTTAAAGTATTTCGGAATTCACTATCCGACCATAAATTCAGTTTAGGCTTCATAGCAGGAGAGCATCAACTTTTGGCAACTAAGTTGGGATTTAACCTCATTCAGTTTATGATCTTGCAAAACTATCACCTATGATTGTCGATGATAATTGTGTTGCGATCGACATGGTTAAATTATACTGGTCGAGACACTAAACTTAAAATTTATATACATGTATACTTGAGAAAAAATCGAGAGATCACTGCGATTCCTATGATGTGAAGTAAGAACACCAAGACTAATACAATTGAAGATTTATTAACCTTAAAACACTACGACGACTTTAATCGAAAACACATTGAAGACATATATATTGATTGTACTCTTATTTTAATATTTAATTAAGATGAAATCACATAAATGAAAGATGCGCAGAGTTATCACATGCTACATTTTATGCTGAACACAGTCCAGGTTGATTTAATACAACAATACAACAATACAGCAACAATATCACCACCCAGTGATCAATAAATTGTGATTAGATCTCAGTCCTACAGTAGGTCAGTCACGGCCCGGATAGCTCAGTGGTAACGTCTCTGACTGTGAAACTGTGTGACACGGAATCGAGTCCGCCAGGGAGCACCAGTTCCCTCAAGATAACAGGTACACCTTGCTGACGAGTGCCAAGTAGCACGAAACACGGGTCCAGGGTTTCCTGTCGACTACCTCCAACCAACATCTAACAATCGCTTTTCTTTCTTTTTTTGTTTCTTTTCTATCCAGAAATCGACATAACTCCTCATAATATTTTCTTTCTTTTTTCTTCTTTTCTTTTCCCCTCTTATAAATTTACATCAGATGTTGAAAATTATGAAGCTATGTTTTTAGTTTAAGTGGTTTAGAATAAAAAAAAGAAACCACAACCATTTCTTTATATTTTAGTTATCTGAATAAAATGATATTCAGGTGCATTTTGAATATTAACTATTACATAAGATCCTGTTATTTTTCATGTTTGTATAGTTGATATAGTAATAACGTGAGCTAAAAAAGATACTTTTAAATCGATCGATAGCATTCGATCTGCACTAATAAGGACTAGACAAGCATGACATTGATCACCACCCAGTGATCAATCAATTGTGATTACATCTCAGTCCTACAGGAGGTTAGTCAAGGCTCGGATAGCTCAGTGGTAACGTCTCTGACTGTGAAGCTGGGTGACACGAGATCGAATCCGCCAAGGAGCACCAGTTCCCTCAAGATAACAGGTACACCTTGCTGACGAGTGCCAAGTAGCACGAAACCCGGGTCCAGGGTTTCCTGTTGACTACTTCCAACTACCATCTAAAATCTCAATACATAGTGCCCGCAGTGTCGAGTCACCTAGACTGGTGGCCACATTGCAACATGATCGATAGCATTCGATCTGCACTAATCAGGACTAGACAAGCATGACATTGATCACCACCCAGTGATCAATCAATTGTGATACTTTTAAATCATCTGTTCAAGTGTTAGTATACTAGAGCTGATATACCTTCGTAAATAGATCGGTTTAAATGTTGGAATAGTCAATGTCTCATGTCATTAAAAAAAAACAACGACTTTTATAATACAATTATCTGATCGAAAACTTGACTTAATGAAGTAAACTACTTATTATTACTAGTATGGAAGATTTGTGGAGATTGCTGAATCTCATTGAATTCCATAGCATTGAATAGTATTTTAAGGTAATCATCAGTTATTGATTTTCATCTTAGTTGTTTATGATTACCACATTTTCCATGATACTAGAATATTCAGAGTTCAAAACCAAACAGTGTGTTTTTTTTTATTGTGACATATGAATATTGATTCTCAAATTCATCAGTTATTTGAATGACAACTGTTTCATTGGTCAGTGACAGAATGTTCTTATGCAAAATCTATTCATTAGATGTATATCAGTCAGTCAGTCAGCAGCAACTTAGAACTTTGTACGTACGTACATCAGTTCGAGTTACCATACCATATTAGCATACAGATGCAATTGCCGATTCAAATCACAGAGTAGTAGAGGTAGTAAGAGTATAAGAAGTAATCAGAAAGATTAGGGTTTGAAGATGTTATTCAAGGAGTATAATACAGTGAAATAAATTTGCAAAGAAAATAAGGGACATGAAGAATTCAGAAGATTAGAATTTGGGAGAGCACAAAGAGTAGATGCACTTGCGCCATTGCAAACGGTTTTGAGCCATGTCATTCAGGGTCTCTAACCATCGGTCGCTATCATCTCGCTGTCCACAATCAGGTAGTCTACACCTACCAACATGGCTCAGTCCACTTGTCAGTGACTTCATGGACTTGTGCCATGTTTTGGTCTGGCCGCCCCTAGCTTTCTACCAACCTACTCCTATACCACTGAACATAGCACGTCGAGGCAGTCGGTGGTTGGGCATAGATATATGGGATTTCATTAAACTATACATTTTTCGTTGGTAGAAAACCGTCTATTAGTTTCTCTTTTCACTATAGAAACAAAAACAAAAAAATGAAAATACTAATCTAGATTCGAAAAAATAATATTAGTCACGTTTAAGATTTTAGCCGAAAATCATTATTCTCTCAGACAAACAAAAACATTATCAGTATGAAGAAACCTGTAAATGATGCATAAATATATATGGAGAAAGAAAAAGAAAGAAAGAAAGGAAGAACGAGAGGAAGAGAGAGATAGTAAGAATAAATGTGGACTTGTAAACAAGAACGTGATAACAGTTTATTTGATTGATAGTTATTCATATGACAGCCTGACTACAACAAAATGTCGATTAATACATTTCGAAATAATAAACAGATTAGGATATAATGAACTAAAGAAATCAATCATATTA